TCCTCCATATGACAGTTTTTTCTGTCATCGTCTAAATCCAGTTATGTTCTGTTGCCTCTGTCCAGTGAAAATGAACTTTTGAGTTTATATCCTTGTGGTTGAAATGCACTTATTGTAAGTCAGCTAAATGACATGTGATGTAATTATAAATAACAGTTCTCCTTTTTCACCTCTGGGCATTTAGTCTGAAGGCGCAGAGGCCTATTGGTGCACAGCCAGTCTCGTCTCCTGATCGTCCTCTCACAGGACGTCCTCCGCTGCCAGGGCTGTCTCACCGATTGTCTGTCCCCGGTCTCTGTGATGACTCCATGTTGTTTTGACCGTGTGTTTTTTAATACACTCGGTCCACAGCTGACGAGGTGTGCTAGTCTGTCCAAAAGAACCAAAAGAGATCGAAATATTCACTACAAGGAGTGTGAAATGTGCTAATGTAGAAACTACACTCAGCGATTCACAAATCTGACATTGTCAGTGAGAGAGTTGTATTTACAGATGTACAAAATCCATATCGCGGTATTTAGAACGTTTCTGATGGTGTATGTGGCGGTTATTTCTTTTTCAAGTAAACACATTCATTCATTGACTTTGACCCAAACAGCTTGTTAGCGAGTTAGCTTGTTAGCATATTAGCGGAGGCTCGACAGACTTTGCAATAAATCATTTTCTGATTTTCCAAAACCAAAAACCCTCCAGACAGACCGTTGGGCCCAGGTTGTGTTGGTGCCTCTCTGGTCTCTGGTTCCGTGTTTTCATGTAGCAGCTGAGTTACTTCTTGTTGTGAGCTTTACCCAGCATGCAGTTCGGTGCGGTCATTTTTCCAAACGTACAGTTATTAGTGTTACAAGATGTGGTGCGGTGGTGTTTTACCCTGTTAAAGAGGGTTGTGGGTTATTCATTGGCGTTATAAAGTTGTAACCACGACTGAATCTCAACACACGTAAGTCACGTAGCTCCTCCGTGACGTGGAAGATGACATTCTGCCACCTGCTGAAGGACAACGTCAGTTATTATGCTGGTATGAACCGTGCGTGAGAAATTCATACTTTAGGTACCCCCGGCTACCGGATTACACCGGTATACGGCACAGCCCCAGTTTACACAGATTGTACATGCAGACGAGTTATCGGTTCTAAACGCTTTATGTTGTGTATTCAATCCAATACTTGATATTTAATGTTGGCACAGATATCAATGTTTTAGTTTTTAAAGAAGTCAACGATGTATCGACACAAACCTTTGTTTGACATAAACGCCCCTTTCAGTAAAAATGAGTATTGAGCCAAGGTAATTGGTCAATTTACTGTACTTTTATAGCGCTTTTCTAGTCTTACGACCATTCAAAGTGCATGAAACCGATCCGTGAGGCGTGAAGGTTGGGGACCACTGCCACGGTGTGTGAGCAATCACAGGGTCATAGTCGTGCACCGACTGAAACGGAGCGTTTGGCTTTTTGACTTCGTTGTTTGTGGATGCAGATGTAAAACGTATCACCATATGAAACCACATGTAACTGCTTGTTGACCGACGGCTGAAGGTACGGGGTTTACGTAGTCCGAGGGTGCCGTCTGGTCTGTGTCGGCTGTCAGCAGCACTCTGGCGGGTCGGACCAGCGCCAGGCCGCCCGTCCTGTTAGTGAGCTTGGCACACATCTGCTTTTTTCTAGTGATGGAGCTTCAGCGAGCCCCCTCCCCTCCTTGAAGAAGTCCTGAAAACAGGATGACACAAACAGTGCACATTTAGGTTTCGGAGCAAAAGCAGATGCAGCAAAACTATGCGTTTTTCATGTATACTGATGAGAACATTGGCGTAGCTCCAGCATGCACATCTGTGTCTTGTTTAGGTGTGAAGTCCTCCCATAATGCTGAAGCACAATGGAGCCAAAGTTAACTAAATAGCTTAATATCACAAGGGCGGCTGATTCTCATTTGTTCTCCAAGTAACGGAGTTGAGTTGGGCCACTGTCTCGCACGCTGCTGACAACACTAACCTCGTCCTCCGGTCACTCCCCAGGCCGGCGTGGCCTCCATGTAAAGCTTTTATAATTGCACTGATCTGGGGGGGGTTACAACCTGCTGACACATTTCAGCATGACTTGTTGAGGATTGCGGTGTTTTTGCTTGTTGGTGTTGGACTGTTGGGCCTGACGGAGGAAGAAGCAAACACTGGTGTTGGCATCTTTGCGCGAGGCGTCGCTGTTTTGTGGTTTTCCAGGCTAAATGCCTTATCCAGGGAAACGGATCAGTTACCGAGCCGCCCCCGACCCCCCCGTCACGCCTTCTCCGTGGGTTGAGTGAACGCAACAGCAGGCCGGAGCTAATGAGCGCCGTGGTCTTCACACCACCCATAGTCCAGCCTGCGCCCAACGCCAACGCTTAACCTGGAAACAGGATCGTATGGGAATAAAGAACGGACATTATTCCCCAGATATCTGTACCTATCCGGCTCGGTATATTGTGTGAAAAACACCGGCAGCTGTTGCTGATGTTCTTTGTTACTTTGGGTCTCTGTGAGCAGTAACTTGGAATCAGGAAACGCTGCTTCAACCAACCTGCTCTTCTCTGTCGTCAGTTTGGATGTTTCTGTAACAGCGGCATGAAGGAGGGTGGATGTGCACCGGCGACACGGTGATCTTTTAGTTAGTTTAGTCCACGCTACCACCGCCGTTCTGGCCTTGCTGGTGCAGTTTGTGGCTCTTCCATCACGGTGTTGATATCCCCGTGTTATTTGATACAGGCCTCTTCTCTTATTCTTCATTTTTCGCCGGCTCTTAAAATCCGCCGGGTCCCGTATGAGCTCCTGTGTGACTTTCAGAAGCACTTTACATATCCGGCATGAAATCGAACAGCTGAAGAACGGGTGGAGAGGCGAGCGGGTGAAAGCCTTCTGGCTGCCAACGAAGTACAAAGATTGTTAATCTGTTTGCTCAGCTCTTCTTTCTCCTTTTTCTTTGACTTTGACAAGAACAAAAAGGACATCCGTCAGCACACAAGTACTCTACCAGCCAGTGGGAAATATATAGAGGGAGAGATTCCGCAAAGCACATCATTTGAAATAAAAAAAGAGTGGAGATGATTTCGTCATCAGTCAGACCGACGCGTCTGACAGTCGGCCGTGGATTGTGCTGCCTGAACGTCTACGGAGGCCTCATGTCACTACGTGGACACGGCCGACCTGCAGAGCGCTGCCGTCTCCCCCGTCTCTCCCTCTGAGGAAATGAGTCTACGATTCACAGGCATTGCTCAAATTCCTCCCCTTGTGTCACCGCCGCTAAACCAAATAGCGGCTTAAGAAGAGGGGGGCCGGGGGGGGGGATTCCACCACTGAATCAACAGATTGTTTGCGTCCTTGCAGACTCAAAGGGGAACATTTTTAGAATTGTGGAAAGGTAGGAATCTTGGGGGGAGTAGTTTCTTTTTAGCCCATTATTGGGGAAACAAATGGGTCTCAGAGCTTAGGGTGCCGGCCTTCTTCCCAGCATCTTGCGGGGGGGGTTTGGTGTTGCGAGCGAGAGATCTGGTCTCCAATTCGGCGCCTTTGATTGACTCCTTTGGAAATGAGCGCGTACTGTGACTCCAGCCGTTGGAGTAATTGGTGCTCACATGCAGGTCCGTGGGTTTGCCGGCGAGCCGGGCTGAGGTGTATGCGCATTAATGAGGGTCAACTGGGGTCACCTGACCCTCTCCACCCCAGCACGCTGATGCCACGGCTTCCTAGTGAAGGAGGTGGAGCGACAATGACAACGGAAAGAACCCACAATATCTCAGAACCTTAAAAGTAAAGGGTTTTTATTTTTACTTTGACAATTGTTATCTCATTTGCCGTTATACCGGTTAGCCCTCTTTTCATGACCTGAAGCCAGAGTAACGTTGCCACCGAGCATCCAAGCAAATCAATCATCACCTTTGCCGTTTTGAACGAGCGTGTGAATTTAATACACCTTTTTTTAGCAGGATCCGTCCAGCAGCCACTGTATGCGCCTTCTAGTTGTCACTCTCAGGCCCCATTTCACGCTCCACCCTTTTGGCCCCGAGTGGCGAAGAGAGCGGTCGCTCTTTTCCGCGCGGTGTTCGATTCAAAAAAGCGGTGAAACGTGCGAATAAGCCGACCAGAGCCGGACTCCAGATTCTCATGGTCGTTTGTCTGCCGTGAGGCCTGAACTAAAGCCTCTCCTGGAGTATCTGTCTTCTCCATCAGTAAGCACTCACACTGCGCGTAGATGTGTTGGTTGTTTTTTTGGTGTGTTATATTGATTTATTTCGTCACCAGTAACATAAACTGATTTTTTACACATCAGAACACTTACAGATGTTCCCCTATATATATATATATATATATATATATGACAAAGTAGCTCCAGAGTTATCACTCCTTTTATCATGGGTGTGCCATTTTCGGAGCAGAAGCCAAAAACCAGCCCGAGGGTCAAAAGTTTATTTAGTTCAACATTCCACTTTTGATGCTTTGTTTGCCAACAGGGAACCTGTGAGGACTGGAGCAGCTCGATGGAGTGCAGGCTTTCATTTGTCTAGTTTGAATAATTCAGTTGTCCACACAGGAGGCTGTAGCCATTACGTGGGTGAACCAGGTCCCTGCGACCCGAGGTCATTGCTCTAAATTGGCTGAAAGTCCCTCCTCTCCTCGTCTGTCCATATGTAAACTGCCCCTGTTGCCACCGCTCTCTTCATCTTTGCCCTATCGACGCACACCTTGGTAATTGCTGATGTGGACCACATGTCGGCTTTCAATGGCCTTCTGTTCCGTGGAGTGTTCACATGCTGCAGGAAATATCAGAACCTTGTTATTGGGCTGCTTGTACCTTCCTGAGCCGGCGTCACGGGCAGCAGGATGAAGTCCCCTTGTTCTTTCATCCTCCTCATCCTCGCCCACAGCCGTCTTACCCGTGCTACCTCATTAAGGCAGTGACTTGACCCGTCAGACGGAGGGTCAACGCGTTTTGAGGTCCTTGGTAAAATAGTGTTTGTCTCCGTGTCTCTTTCCAGATGGACGTGTCTCCGTGAGGAGTCTGACCGTGTGAACGCATGAACGGATCCGGAGCACCGGCCCTTCGTCGCCCCACAGGTAAGCCAAGGCTCTACGCGCGCCGGCCCAGTGGAGCCGTCCACGCGATACGCGGCGATACGGCGTATAGCCGCCAACAAAGCGCGATGATGCACAAGAACACCCACCTGACCACATGACTTCATGTAGAAGTGTAAATCAGAGCACTAAGAGGGTCTCACAAATAACACACACTGTGTGTGTGTGTGTCTCCTGTGACCTTCAGGGCAACAACTCTGTGCCGGGTTCAGGGTGGACGCCGGTCTGTCCTCCCTCCTCATTCCTTCCCATTGGCTCGCTTATCACCAGTCATGCAGGGACACGCGTGTGCGTGAGGACGTGTGTGCGTTCAGAGGAGCCGGGTCGTCTGTAGTTGATTCTGCCCCGGTGCTGCCCGGCCCGGCTCCCCTCCCACCCGCTGCTGCTGCTGCTGCTGCTTTGGACTCTCCCTTTTTCAATGGACTTCACAGCCTCTGACCAGCTTCCTGGAGCCATGGGTGGAGTAAACACCACCCTTTGTCCGGGGCCAACCCTGTTTAAACCACATCACGCGGTGGAGGTCTGCAAACGATAAAGCTTGATTGTTTGATGCATGTGTTGCTGCTTTCCCTCCACATGTGTCCCCCTCTAACGGTCTTCATTTGCTACAAGGGGAGCGAGATAACGGGGGAGGAAGTGGAGGAGGGACGTCATTTACCAAAATGACTCCAATTAAGAACCAAACCCAATACAAAGATCCGAGAGACTGTTTGCCGTTGCTTTATGTGCGCGTTGCTTTATTGGTATTCTAACGTTCTCTTCCTAGTATCCGCGCTGCACTTCGGCTGATGAGTAACAGAAAGTTGTAGCTTTAAAGACGAATGGAATCAAAGGAAATTCAAGAATCAGCATCAGCAGAAAGCTTCAGTGTAAAAAGGAGTTTTAGCATCAAATAAACGACAACGAATCCACAAAACAAGAAGCACAGTACGTCTTTACTCCAGAGAAAAGCAAAAATACCCGTGTTGATTGTCAAACTAATGTAATCCGCTTCCCCCCACAAGGACTGATAAACCGGCTTGAACCCGTTCAAACAATCATCCTCAGCTGGATTCATTCACGCAGAGGCCAATGTACACAAGACGCACACATTTACATCTAAAAAAGCCTTTTATGGAGGATTCTGCTCCTAACAAGTGTGTCAGTCAGCAGTGATCCTCTGCCAGCAGCTGTGTTGACTGTCCAACACACACACACACACACACACACACACACACACACACACACACACACACACCCCAGACGCGGCGCTCTGACCTGTCGGGGGGCGGAGCTGTGAATGGCGCCCTGCAGCCTGAGGGAGCAGCAGGCTCCGTCAGCCTAATGAGGGAGATGTTTACCTGCTGAGGCCTCCTCTGAAACCTTCGTGTTGGCAGACGAGAGCGAGTCTCGTCGGCTGCAGCGGCTCGGGACGACGTCTTCATCAAAGTTGTTATGATTTGATGATTTTGAATAATCGGCTGCGTTCCTTGTTGTGATGTGACGAGGCGGCGCTCCGCCGCGTAGCGAGAGGCAGGTGTAGGAATGACATCAGAGCAGATGCTCAGAGGCCACGTACCACTCTACTTTCAATGCGTCCACAGCGTGAGTTATGATCCATCTGGCTTGTTGCCATGAAACACACATTGATACCAAATGACAATACATTTAATAAATAACCAGCGGCGTCATTCTGTCTATTTGAGAGGGGCCGAAGCCCCCTGCCCTCCCAAATCATTCAAAAATCAAATCAAATATATATATATATATATATATAAATATAATTATTAATAATTAAGTGTTTTTCAACCATAAGGATACAAACCTAGAAAAACAAGGAAGTGCAATTTTATTAAATATTAATAATAGAATATATCCTACTGTGTTTATTTTATTTATTTATTTTTCCTGAGTAATTGAATGCCCTTTTGGTTTAAGCACCTGCCCCCCAAATGTCTGTGCCCGTGCCTGATTATTCATTAAATATACAAGTTTTTTCATTGTATTTAATTCATTTTATTTTGTAAAGCCCAAATTACAAATCTGCCTCAGAGGGTTTTACAGTCTGTACACATGTGACGTCCTCTGTCCTGAAACCCTCACATGAGGAAACAAATAAAAACCCTTCAGAGGGAGAAAAGGGAAGAAACCTCAGTGAGGACGATCCGTCTCCTGATGGACAGACTACGATGACGTCATGAGGACAGAATGAACAATGTAGAAGATGAACAACACACAGGCGGTGCGCCTGAGGTATTAAAGCCCAACAGTGTCTCCACGTGACGTAGCATCTGTCTTCTAGAAGATCTCCTGTATAAATCCCACTCAGACAGGAAGCGGATCTTCTAACCAGAGAACGGGGAGGAAATGATAAATGAAGGCGGGCTTTATTGTTGTAGGTTAAAGATCAGTCCAGCCGATCTGGGTCTGACCCCTGGGTGACCTCCTGCACATAGGAGTCACTCTCTGAAGTAACAGATATCCAAACGCACGGTTTCCGTGTTACACTTCTGGATTTCCTCTGGCTTTTCATGGAGGGCTTTAATGGACTTAAATGGGAAAGACTTACTCGTGTTCGTTCTCACGGGGTTTCCCAGAAACTTCTACCGCCCGCGATTCTCTTTCCCTTTCTCCGTTTTATAAAGAAGTGTAGCTAAACAAACCGTGTTGCTTTGATACGGGAAATGTTTGCTCTGCCTCTGGAAAAAAAAAAGCCTATTGGGTTCCTTTTGTGCCGACGTGGGCGAGAGATGCGTATTCATAACACCAGTGGGTCCTTTCTTCCCGGCGCCATTGTCTCCCACCGTGGATCCTCTTTGCTCTGTTGTCTTGCGAGTTCCGCTGGTGGTCTGTCATGTAAACAAAGGGGAACCTTCTCCTCTGCCCTCTTCAAAGCCTTTGTGTTGTTTCCCTGCCCGTCTCCTTCTGTGGCCGTCTTCTCCACTGCCCGTCTGTCCCCTGCCCCAACCCTCTTGGGTTGGAGGCCGTGCGAGGGCCTCCTAGCGTATTGGGCTTTTAGGTGCCAGTGGGGAAGGAAGGACCCTGCTGGCTTGTCAGCGTCCCTCACCCCTCCGTCACAATGGCTCCGTCTCCCTCCCACCCATTTCCCGGCCTCGCTGGGAAGAGTAAATATTTATCATCCCCCCCTCAACAATGGCCGGGCTGCAGGAGAAGGAGACTTTGACCGGGCCTCCGGCCTAGAGAAGGGCTGCAGGGAGATTAGGATGGAGCCAGCGGGATATGCCACATGGTAAAGGGCTGCTCTGCGTGGACACATTGACATGAAGACGGAATCTGAGACGCTGAAATTACATATAAAGCTAAAAAAAAGCCCTTAAAAACAAAGTCTACTGAGAGGGAGGATTGCGTATTTGGCATTCCCACTCAGTCTCCTGTTTCACCGCCCTGCCCGCGTGGGTCTACGGTGGGCAGGTCCAGACGAAGAACATCTCAACATTGACGTATTTCAGACGCTGAACTGAATGGGAATGTTTGATGGACCTTAGAAGCCTTCATTCTTCTAGAGGGAGACCGAGGAAGAGCAGCTCAAAACCTGTCCTGGTTTCTTCCCTGCGCTTCCCATGAAGACCTGGACTAATGTGGGGACATGAAGACGCACAGTCCGTCATGGAACACGGCCTGTCACCGTGGCCTGTCAATAATCTCATATCAGAACGTGGGGAGGGTTGTTTGGTGGAATGAGAGCCCCCAACTCGCGCTGTATGGTAACAGGAAGGGACCTGTTCTTTCAAAATAAAACTTTTGAATGGCATTGATACAGATGGACCCACCTGGTCCTTCTGCTTCCCCTCTTCACGTCACAGCAGCGGCGTGGAGCGTCAGCTGCAACGATAGTACACAAAGCTCCAGATGGTGTGGATCAATATCTCATTGGAAAATCACACTCCTAATCTGGATGCACATCTGCGTCATCTTCGCCGCATCTGTCTGGAGATGAAGCAGAACGTTGGAATATAATTCCGCACAGACTGATACATGATGAAGAAACACCTGTTACATGACTAAAGGCCGAGCGTGTCGCAGGTGCTTCCACACGTGTTTGCTGCGAGGCATAATTAGGTTGTTAAACGTCCCTCGTGGTCCTGGACCGACTCCGTTGTTAAATATTTCTGCTGTTGTGAGAAGATTTGGCCTGAGCTGCCTGATGTTGCCGTGGGAACGCAGACTTAAGGACATGAGCTGTTGACACGCTGCGCCTCGCCGTGGGCCTCAGGAGAAGATGACTTCTAGCTGAGGTCCATAATGAGACGTGAAGTTAAGCTCTGCAGCTGCACCTTTAAAGTGATGACATAAATGCTAAAAATGGAATAATAAAATAGCCTCGTTACATTCATACAATTTGAATAGCGCAGTAAACTGATCTTCAGGCCCTTGAGAAGAAGAATAAATTACTCTGATGACAATAGAAACTGTCAAAGACGTAAACGTCTAAGACAACAGAACAGCGAGTTAACTGACCGGCTGGAAGCAGATTGAAGTGAACGGTTCTTGAAGGTGAAAATCAGCCTGATGTGTTCTCTTACAACTACATCACATCACAGGTCATTTAGCTTCTATCCAAAGAGACTTACAACAAGTACATTCAACCATAAGGTTACAAACTCAAGAAAGTAGAGTATGAAGAGGTGTGTCTGTAGTCTGAAGATGTGAAGGCTCTCTGTGGTCCTGGTGTCTTCAGAGACCTCCTTCCACCATTTAGGAGCAGGACAGCAGAGAGTGGAGATCTAGTGGAGTGTTTTGCTCTCAGTGAGGAGGAACAAGCAGATGCAGAGCGGAGAGTGCGGGTCGGTGCTTTCGGGTTGGACCAGGTCCTGGATGGAAACACGGTCTAACCCGACACCCCGACCTACAGATATCATTGTGTCCCTCAGGTCCTGCCATGGTAATTCCTTATGTGGAGGACCCTTTGTCAGACCAATGTTGGGCCCCTCATTTTAAGGGTGACGAGTTTTTTTTGCAATTTTACAGTTAATAAATATTTA